TAATAGTTTAAGGCCTTCATGTGTAAAAATGGAATTGTAAGATACTGGAATCTGTAAATATACAATTGAAAGCTCTTACTAGAAATTACATATTTGAATTTGCAGTATTGATATAAACACTAACAAATGTGAATGATCTGTTGTAAGAGCATTACTACATTTTAAAAATGTGCATAGCAAATATTAAATTTCTGTATAAACGAGAAACATTTAACTGTAAATGTGTTTTTGAAGTGCTAAGAAGCACAATTAGTAAATTGATAATGCTTATTAGAAAGATGTTCAGTAGCATATATTCTTGTACATTATATCTTTGTTTCAGTCTTTTGACAACCTTTTGTACAGATTTATGGCTATCAGATAATGCTTATTTCATTATGGTCAGTTTTATAACAGACCATGCACTCTTAAGTAGATGAATATTTGTTAGCAGATGTGCAGAATTTTTTTTTCCAGGGTGCCTATTTTTATAATTGTTCCCTTCAGAGTATAGATTTGTATGACTTTTGTAATGCTAAATGCATTTAACATGTCTTGTAAACAATATTTTCATTTGTCTTTAGAAAGTTTTGATCCAAAGGTGCATTCTTCTGCTTGTTCCAACTTGTCAGATAAAAATGAATTTAGCCTATACAGTACTTAGCTTACATGTGCATATTTCCAAATAAGGTCTGTTTCACAGCTGCTAGGCTTGTTCTTTCAAGCAAGCATGAGCAGCTCAATTGGTGGGTGTTATTTTTATATCCAAACAGTAAAGCTACTCCTTAGTTTAGGAGCATGAGCCTTTACCATGAAATAACACAATCACCAAACTATCTAGTATGAAACAAGATTCCTTACTGACATGTTCTGTTCTGTGACATTTTCTATTGCATCTGTAAATTATGCAGGTAGTTTTTATCTAATGGAACTTATTTATGTTTGTCTGAGAGCTTATTAAACAAATTGTACCTTCTTTTTCTTGTAGACATGTTAAATTTAGGATTAAATACTAATTTGTTCAACAGAACCTACTTCTAGGTAAGTTTGTATAGCTGTCTTACCCTACCTGGTCTTTTCCAAATACTTTGACATACAACTAACACTGACAATGATGTTGGGTTTTGTAGTCAAACATTAGGAAGCCTGTATAGAATTCTCTTTTTAAACACTTGGAGGATGAATTAAGTTCCAACTAAATGTGAATAGTTAATCAAAACTCAAGATTTAAATACTGTATCTAGTTTTATAGGTAAAACTCAGGATACATGTCAGTTCATCATATCTCTGTAGCAGTACTACATATTCACATTAACCAATTACAAAAGGGGGAGAGAGGTGAATACCCTAAAGTGAAGGAATATGTCGCTCTCTGTGTACTGGACTTCATCACTCCAAGCCAAGGAGATGATGGGAGATACAGTTCCTCTGTGGTCTCTTTCTCTTCTCCCCCCCCCCCCCAATGGGTTGGAGATAACATTATAAAGGGCAAGTAATTACTGTAGCATTTCTACTTATTGGAACTTTCACATAAACTTCATATCAATCTAGCCTGCTTTCATGTAAAATGGAGTACCTCATCTGGACTGGTATTTTAGTGATTGAGATTATGCTAGGACTGGGAGAGACCTAATTCATCCATTCAAGCTAATAGATACCCTCAGTCTCAGTCTGATTCCAAAAGGCTGTAAAGATAACATAGGAATAGTTTCATTTACACCAGAATGTATAGTTAAAGAAACTGTTCAACTGTCACCTCCAATGAAAATGAATCAGGCAAACACAGAATTAAAGCATTGAAAGAAACTGTTTACAGTGAAGTATTAGAAGAATTATATAGGGTCTTATGCTGTAGGTACTTTATAACCATCTTAATTGTTAAGCACAAAGTTCTTATGTTTTTAAATATCCATTTCCTTTATAGTGTAGCTGCAGATGTTTTCAGTACATGTGGAAATAGGCTCTGGAGACCAAACTGGAGTCAGTGTAAGCACCTTCCTTAGTTCAGTGTTTACTGTTCATTTTTGAAGTAAAATTGTTTCAAAGATATTTCTTAAGCAGTACAGCACAACTAAAAAAAATTGGATTGAGCTCATATTATTGCAAAAATCACACACTTTTGAACCTTGGACAAGGATAAAGCTACCATAAATCTACTTTGGCTCTTATAATTGAGCAGTTTATACATCCTGTAGCTACCTTTTGCTTGGAGATCAACCTACAAAGCAGATTCTTCAGCTGTTCTGAATAACATCACAAAAATACTGTTTCTGGTTATTTTAAATTACTCTTTATTAAGAGTGAGGTTAGTCAATTACCTGTACTTCAACACAGTTGAAAATCTTTAACCACTTTAATAATGTTTAACATAAGGCATAACTTGAACTCGCAGGTGAAGAATAGATATTAAATGGAATCTGTTCCAAGTCCATCAATGAAACACCATACCTAGCAGTCTCAAACAAATGTGCCATCAGTTCCAAAACAGGACTACTTCCTGGAGTATAACAAATTTTCTGTCTTGAAAAGAAGTGCTGGTCAAGGAGTAACAATGACAGGCTTTCTGGAGTAGAGTCTGGTTGCCCTGGCCAAAAAAAAAAAAAAAAAAAGGAAAAAATTGAAGTTAAATTCATGTGTAGTTGGACAAATATGTCCACTGTTTCACTAGCACATGCAGAAAATTCCATTAAACTAGTTATGTACTATATGAGCTCTTTTTTGTCCTACTTGAATTTTCCTCAGGTCCAGTGAAATTTAACTTAATTTTATGAGCCAAAAGGACAGTACAACCCATGTAACAGAGGAGGTTGTTTTCCCAGTCAGAACCAACCAATCTCAGAAATAAGAACAGCTGCCAAGAAGATTTCCATTGAAATCTGGTGACTTATTTTCTTAAGTCTGCTGTAATTATCAATCTCTATACAGCTCCATAAGCAAGATCTGTATTATTCTATGCCATAATAAGCACCATACAGATACATCAATGGAAACATATTGTGATTGAATGTATCAGCTGTCTGTTTGCTTAACACAATGTTCCTAGATTATGATTGCTCCCTTAAAGGCACATGGCAAACTTGCAGAAGCAGAGATGAGGATGAGTAAGTTCACCTAAGGTTAATGCACAGGAATGAACAAAAGTAGAACAGGAGCCAGCGCATGGGTCTTTCTTTCATGAATTTGATTATCCATGAGTACGTAGCTACCTCCACCTCCAGTCTACAAGCAATAGTCACATTGCTGCAAGAACATCCTGCAGTGCTATCATCTATCTCCTTTCCCAACCCATTCCTCCCTCTGCTACCACTTCTCAGCTGCTCTCTTTCCTGATCTGGAGCTGGGTGTGTAG